CGGTTCGTTTTGTTTGCTGTTTGTCAACCGCAAGCTTAGCTCGGGCAGTTAAGAGGCCGCCCATCCGTCTGTTCTGAGGTCGGTTGCAACGGTCGCCATTTATTATTATCGTCTGTTCTGCGCTTCCTGCCTGCAGGAATATCCAAAGGCTATTGATCCGCCCCAGATCTCCCCATGGATAATTAATTACCTTTTTTTGCCCTTTGCTTGACCTTGCATGGATGGGGTACGGGGGAAGATAAGAGGAGGAATATCCTTATCATTCCCGCTCGGCATTCATTATTCAGGTGACTGGTCTGACCCGGTCCAGGAAAAAACTCAGGTTTCTCAAATAGGAGAAAGGAGGGCAGCAGTGTTCATCGCCGCGTATTCGGACAGCCAAAAAAATCCCCGTCAACAGGCACGCAAAGGTGGTGAGACGAAGAGCTCTCTCACCCCATAGCCCTCGCATCACCTGCTCATGACAGGGTACCCACTGGTATGGTTGGTAGCGCGAGTTCACAGTCATCCTTACCCGGACGATGTTTGCTTTTTTCTCTTCTTCTTCTCTCCCCAGAGAACGAGAGACGACTCAAAACCAGACCACAGCCCTAGTACAGACGGCAAAGGTGTGCATTGTGAGAGATAGACATGCTCTCTTGTTTGTCTGGCAAGCTGTTCCATTTGACCGGTCGAATAGATGGCTAGATGACCGGATAGGTGTTGTCATTCCCCCGTCACCGTACCACCAGCCGCCAACTAAACCCGTCGACTTGCCAGCAGCCTCTAACCACCGGCCACACTCAATACATGTGGTAGAAAGTTGACACCGGCTAACTAAAGTTGCTTTTTTTTTTTTTCCGGCCTGTCACTCTAGTTACTCTGTACATGAACAATAAGTTCTCGGACGGGCAGTTTGTAGTAGGGATAATAATAAGAATAGTAATAACATCCGAGACGAGCCAACTTACCTGCTGCTATCGTCTTCACCACCGGCGGCCTCATCTCAGGATCCGCCGTCTTTGCTGGTCAGGGTCCTTTGACTGGCCGTTCTTTATTCTGCTCTCCACATCTCATCCACAATCAACTGGTTTATCCTGCATGAACAGCCCTGCAAGATGGGCCCCCTTCAGATGTTCACAGGAGATGAAGAAGAAGAAAAAGAGATGAAGTTGTTTTTTCTTTTACGTGGGAGGTTGAAGCCCTAACTGGGACCGTCACGCCTCAGTCACATGGGCTCACATGGGCTCAGGTGATATCAGGATGGAGCAGACGAGAGCCTCGAAGGACTCTCGAAGGCCAGGGGCAAAAAGGATGCTTCGCCAGACCAGACACATTAACCTCTCTTGGGCGGTTGTGTCTAAAATGTGATACGGATGGGCTTAGTTGGCTGTGGTGTTGTTGTTGTCGTTGTTGTTGCTGCGCTGCTGTTGGCAGGCTTACTTCTAAATATACTCTCCTACCACACAAACAAGTTATGTATCATATCTTCACAGATCCGACCATTCTGGGCGTTGAGTCGGTGTCAACCAGGCAGATACCCTCTTCTGTGGCCCCAAGCATATCCCATATCAGTATCTCGACTCTATTCCCATCCTCTTCGTCCCCCACTTTGCGTGGGCAGCGTCGGATGCCAACCACACAACTTGACCCAGCATACCTCGCAGTATCCTTGCCTTCCTGTCCCTCTTCTTCCCCAGCCCGGTTGGCAAACACAATTATGACCTGGGGCTCAGCCATTTCATCAGATGAGTCCTCCACACCCCCTTCATCAGGCAAGAAAAGAGGCGCAAACCGGGATATCCAATACTGGAACGTATCCATGTCAGGTTTGTCGGCCATCGTAGATAGTTCTTCGGAGCTTAATAGTGTCAGCCATGCCATGGATAGAACCACTAGCTTTGCTCCGCTTGTTCGAGCATGTGTTGCAAATTCACAGGCACTATAGGAGGCGATGAATTTATACGGGTTGATGTCCATGCATATTCCTACAGTGGTCGGTATTTCGTTCTTTGGAGAGGAACTGACACTGGCATCACCACTGTCATCTTTGGGTATACTTTGTTGCTTTGTAGGAGTAGACAGGGGCATTAAGAAGAATCCGCTTTCATGGGATTCTCCTTCGTGAGCCCACGGATCATCAGTGTAGTAAAGATGGTGTTTTCTATAGTTCACCAACGTCTCGCCAGATTCTTTGACAACAATAAGCGAATTGAATCGGCGCTCGTCCTGCACATCTTCCCCTGTTTTGGCTGGCAGAGATAGGTTATCTTGCAGCGTCGAAGGGCAGATCTCTGGATATCCCACGGCTACCACGGAACCTAACTTTTGAGCAACCGTACGCGCCCAGCGAGCCGATGGTCCGGCCTCTGATGGCTCAAGATACGGTCGTACAGCCTTCAGGGATGGAAAGTTATATCCTTATAGATAGGGCATGAGCATAGTCATTTGATAGTCGGGTATCAGATCCACGAATTGCAGCGTGCATCACTCACTCACCACTGAATGCCATCTCAGGTAGAACAAGTAGATCTAGATTTTTCCTCTTGCCGTTGCCTTGAAGCATCCTGTCCAGCTTTCCAACCAGTGCATCGGCTTTTCGGATATTCCCCTCGACATCTGCGAGTCGGGAGCGTAGCTGGAAGGTCGCGATCCTCATTGCCACCAAACGGTAAAAGTAACAACAGGAACTATTGTAGCAAAAAAATCTCAACTAATATGAAGGGCAACAGTGGTCTAGTCGATATCAAATAGCAGATTTATGCATTCATGCTCCGTGAAAACTCACTCATCTGCAAAGCTGGCAACGGAAATAAGAGAGCCCTGGGTGATAGATATTTGATTAGTCACATTCCCTTGACCCGCTAGGCGGTCTTCGCCTCCTGGTGGTTAATTCTCTGTTTATCAACAACAAATCATTAATTATAACTATTTGGTTGCCTGAATATATACTGCCCCCACAAGCTTCTTAAAGAAACCAATTGCTTTAACTATATAATGCTACTTCGGATACCACATAGTCACCATCTATATGTCACAGTATTCCATTTCCAGGAGAACGTGCTGTTCGCCATCCATCAGCTTCCAACTTTGGATTGCAGGGCTATTCGACGAAGACTTCAGCATCCATACTATTTTGTCGGTCTGCGGATATGATTCGTGCGGAACCCGGAGACGACACAGCAGTCCGTCTGATTCTATGATGGGACCCCTCTATTGCCAGGCCCTACTGGTCCTAAATTTAGTATTTATCCAAACATCATAGGGAGCCGTGACGACAGCAGCCTGCGGGATATTAAACCATCACAGGTACCGTGGAAGTGAGATTTTGATGTCAGAACATTTGACATAGATTCCATGCTTTCTTCTTCCCATGGTTCTGTGAATAAGGAGCACGGGGCGTTTGTTTGATGAAGCCATCGCTATCTTTCTCGAAGATACCATAAGTTCAGGAAGTGGTATGCTCTTCCAAATAGGCTTCCATACCTTTACAGTGCATTATTTCACAGGCTATTGCGAATTCTTCGTGTCGTAGAGGCCTTAGGTAACTAAGTGTCCACATCATTTCATGGATCATCGCGAGCCTATGGCTTCCTCCGTCTGGTATTATATTCTGGTTGTTGTTGAAATTGTTGAAATCCTCACCGGCGTCCTCATCCGCACCCTCGCCGTCACCTTCGTCAGTCATAGAATGAGGTGACCCGTAAGTGATACCCGCGGGTGTCGACACTAATGTATAACATTAGTTAAATTCAGTCCTGTTGATCTCAGGATAAGGAGGCTCGAAGAGGTAGGCAGAGACCAACGTCAGCCTTGATGCTGCGGTTGAACCCCCATTTGACGAGCCTGCTCAGGTACTGCTTTCGACTGGAATACACAACGAGCAAGTCAAGTCAGCTCAGCGACCACCACGGCAATAGTTGAAGCTAGATCATGGATCAAACCTATGGCTGCTACAATTCTGGGGCCGGGTCAAAGGGAGACACATTTCGTACGTTGCTTTGAAAGTGTATTTCTCTTCCATGGTCTGCATTAGTTCAGAGATAAAGACGCCTCTACGACGTAAAGATGGCGGATCTTTCTCTTCACAGAGGTCCATTCTTGAGAATATATCCTCGTATTTTGCTTGTTGCTGTCGGAGGGAACTTGGGTAGAGTAGACTATGTCACTCCCTTGTTGAAATACCAGGTCAGGAAGACTTGCTGATGGTTGAGCTGGGTCCTCAGAGTTGTCGAGAGTCGTCGTGTTCGGGATGAGCCTGATCATGTCCGCTTCACGGCTTCGGCCCATCTTTAGCACTGAAGCCAGATGGTCTACTATGAAGAGGGCTGGCAGGCACTTGTCACAGGGTAGGTTTAAGTGAGAAGTTGTTATATATGATCTTGGAGTTGCTCTGTGTCTGCTTCATCTTTAACTAGTTAACTGCAGGTCGACAGTAGCTAACTAGTTATCCAGAAGTCCAGAAATCCAGATCCAGAAATCCGGGACGAGCGACTGCGCCTGGGACGACAAGGGTCAACGCTTGATGCCTGCGATCCACCCGGGCATTTAATCTCCCGAGCGACTCAAGGGTGACTGTTGTAAGGCTATTTACCTCGCTACTCCGTAATTAACAACTGCAGATACCCAACAATTAACTCCGTAAGCTTACCAATCAGGTTATTGGTTGGTTGCTTTTGTTGCATGGAATGTTTGGTATCGACTGTAGATCCGGGTGACTGGGTGACTGGTGGATGCTGCTTATGGATCATTTGTAGCTGGAGCATCTACTCTCAATCACCCATCTTATTTCAGTAACCCGTTCTCTGGTATCGATTCTATATAAACATTTTCCTCCTCGACAGAACTTCAACATGCTTATAATATGTTCTTCTCATTCCACCTTCCTCTGCCTTCATCAAGAAAACATAAGTCGACTATGACCGGTACCATGTCTACCAAATCTACTACTGCCAGGGGCAAAAAGCCAAACCCTTTGGTGCAACCATCAACGTCTTCCGACAGGTATGGAATAACACACGATGGCGGGTTATCAGGGTGCTAATATTCATTTCTTCTTCAACAAGGAGAAGGCAGGCACTCCAAAAGTCATGTTGAATCGCTATATCTACGAAACTCGCTCCAGCGAGCTTCCCACCTCGGAATGGCTGTACCAAAAGGCATTCATTGCCGCATCCTCAAAGGCTACGGACGGCCTGCTCTGGCTCGACATCTAGAGCCATCATATCAGGGACAAGGAGGCCATTGACCTATCGATCGTTGACTCTTGCAATCAAAACGGAGCTTTAAACATTCTTCGTGAAGGTCGTCTCATTGGGTATGAACGAGGTGGAAGGCTAGAACTCTTCATGTATGATTGATGAAGGAAAGGATATAAATGGGTCGAAATGGTATAATATACGCAATGGAAAAAAAATTGAATCATGACAAAATAACTCTTGCAACCAACTCCGTTTCGTCCCCAATACAAACCACACCAGAACAACAAAAAACGTAGAGTAGCCCTTATGCTGAACGCCTGAATGCTGAAGATCCTAAAAAATGATGTATGTGGGAGGTTGTGCAGAAAACAAACTGGAACGTCAAGGATATCAAGTTCAACGCCAAAAAAAAAAACTTAGTACTGCGGTTCTTTTCCTTTCTCACTGTTCCTTTTCACCCTTTGGGAGGGTGTGATGGGCTTGGTTGCAAGGCCTTTGGCACCAGTGGCCCTTATTCTTTGTTCTGTCCGGGAGAGAGTCCTGCCCAAACCAAGCGGCGAAGAAGGGGCGAGAGCAACGTCATACCCGTTAACGATTGCACGGGATCCATCAAAGCTAGGTTGAGATCCAATACTTGATCTCCCGAAAAGGGAGCTAGACGGGGAAGAAACGGAGCGGGTGAAGTCTGGGACCTCGTCCCATAGTCGAGCTCCCTGAGACAAGGTATGAGCAGCCAGCCTAGCTGCAGAGAGAAGGAGCTCGTCTTCGTCTATTGCAGGTTTCGAAGGCTGGGGAGCCGATGTTGGAGGCTTCTTGTGTCTAGGTCGGTTACTAGTCATAAGCTCCTCCACCGAAAGCTCGTCTTCCGGAGTGAGTCTGGCTACTTTTGAGCCTCTCTTATGGTGGACATCCAGTTCCTCGATAAGCGCGTCGGCTTTTCGTTTCATGATGTCGGCTTCTATCGAGGCCCGCCTGGCAGCTTCTTTTCGTGCAGCCTTCTTTTCAGCTGTTTGTCTCCTTGCTATTTCTCGCTGAGCTGCCTGGAGTTCACGCGCAAGCTCCCGTTGACGCTGAATCTCACGCTCGGCCCGCTCTTTCTCCTCCGCCTGGCGTCTGGCTTCTTCCTGGGCCTCCTTTTGCTTTCGTAATGCCTCTCTGGCCGCCTCTCGGGCAGCAGCCTCCTGTCTCTCTAATTCTTCTTTCTTAGCCTTCTCCTCCTCAAGCCTCTGACGCTCTCTTTCTTGTTCTAACTGAAGTGCTTCTCGCTTTTTCTTTTCTTCCTCTTTTGCCTTTTTAGCTTCAGCTTCTTCCCTCTCTTTTGACTTTTCCTCTTCTGCTTCTTTAAATTGTTCCAGGGAGGGGCCAGATTGTATATCAGTACTTGGCTCTAATTGGAATGGGTTTGACGGTTGAGCATTAGACGCCGCTCGCTCAGAGTCTGAATGGTGACGGTATTAGTGATAAAAGTAGCTCAAAGAGCCCATGGAGAGTGGCAACATTACCGTTAAGTTCAAAGGGAGAGGATGGGAAAGAGAACTTTGCCGAGGAACGGGGTTCGGGTTCCACTGTCTCATGATTTCCAGTCAAATCGATAGATGAAGTTGGCTGGAACATGGTGAAGGGGGATGCTGGCTTGGCCGTTTCGACGGTGCTGCCTTCATTTGATGGCTGTTCGGTCGCGGACTGAGCTGGCTTTCCTGACGTAAAGATCGAGCCTGTATTGAGTTAGTATGCAGACATAGCATCTTGACTAGAGATATAGCACTTACTTTGTCCAAACAAAGGAGGTTTCTGGCTGGTAGCACTCCCAGGGAAAGGAGTAAATAAAGGTTGAGATGGCTTCTTTGAAGTTTCATCTGTATGCCGTTAGAAATGTATATCCATATAGGGTTGGAAGTAGCGTGAGTCCAAAGGCTAACCTTGCGAGGGCGAAGATGTTTGCTGAGGTTTCCCAAATGGAGAGTCAACAGGTTTGACTTCAGAAGGCTTAGTTTCGGCCAGGGGACCAAATGGTGAAGGGGATCCAAACAGAGACTGCTGTGTCCTCGGATCAGCAGGCTTTACTTCAGCTGCCTCGGCCGTGTCAGTAGGCGCAGTGGAGGCAAAACCAAACGTTGGAGCAGCTTGAGTGGTTTGCTCTCCTTTGAATACCCCATTAGTACTGGGTGATGAAAAGGATGGTGATCCAAAACCAGACACGGTAACTGTAGGAAACGTTGATGAGAATGTAGGCGGGTTAGAAGTAGCTGTGGCAGAAGCTTCACTTGAATTTTGTATTGTAGGTGTTGGTGACAAAGATAACGAGGCTGGAGTTTGAGCCGGGCTTGGCTGTCCAAACTGAACGGTTGGCTAGACAGAATGACTGCAGTCAGTATGTGTGCAATCAAGAGAGAAAGGGACCAAAAGTCAAGGGTCGCCCATATACCTTAGGATTAGAGTTTTGAGGGACAAAGGGCGAGGCAGCGGGAGATAACCGGGAGTTAGATGGGGGTCCAAATGGAGAGCTTTGACCGAAAGGTGACGTAGAAACAGCCGGTGACGGTGTACCGAATGTTACGGCTGGCTTATTAGTCGTTTCAAATGGTGACTGCTGCGTTGTTTGAAAGGGGTTCGGTTTATCTTCCTCGTCGCTAACGAAAAGACCCTCTTCGTCTCCTTGCATCGATTGAACGGAGGATTCGTTTTGGAGGAGAGAGGCATCAATCATTTTGTACCTGATGGCTTGGGAAACACTCATTCCAAGAATGACGGCAGCCAATGATCTTCCGCAGCGTTTTTGCTCAACAAGTCGATAAGAGAAAGTCTGCCGGGAAGATGGTTGGAATACTATTTGCAAATTATTAGAATCACATCAACATTGAAATTTAATTGATATTAAGTGCTGATGTCGAAGCAGTTGAATACGCACCAACCGAGTCAAGTGGACGATTAGCCCAATTCAGATAAAGCTGGCCCTCACTATTGGTTGCGAACTGAAGGTCTTGCTCCTCGCAGAAGGCAATCGTCTGCTCATCATTGTCAAAAGCCAAAGCTGTAGTGAGTTCATCGACCGTCCATTCTTGATTTTTATGCTGCTGAGAGGCAGGTTGTCGGCAGTGCGCTTTCCAGATTGACCTAATCGCTGTTTGGCGAACTTGGTTGAAGTAGACCTCTGCCACACAAGCCATAAGGTAAGACACACTCTTCGATTTGACAAGCTTGAAGAATCGGGAATAGAGACCCTGAGCAAGCGGATTAGGCCGTTTAGCATCTAATGTGCCTTGGTACTCCCAGGTATTTCCTGCAGCTGCAAACATTTCCATGGCCACCTGGACCCGAGGAGATTCCCGTAGTTCACGGGGCCATTTTTGAACTCGAGCTTCAAGGTCCGGGCGTTGGTCGTGGATGGAAAACAAAATGTAATAAGCTCTGAACTCAGCCTCATTTGGAAATGTAAGTCTTCCGCGATTATCGTCGTAGTAATAAAGCAGCGATAGAAGGGTATTGTTCAGTTGTTCTCGCTCTTGATGATGGTCAAACTGCTCCTGGTTCGTTGGGCTTGATAACAGATGGAGCGACAAAATGTGAAAACGAGCAATCCTTTCGAAGCATTTGACGGCAATTTCGATATCTTGTTTCTGGCTGACTTGTTGGATGGATAAGTCGTTTCGTACTGAACGTGTCCGGTCCCAAACAAATTTGTGCCTCGAACCAAGGGTCTCATCACTGGTAGTAACATGTCGAAGCATATAGTTGATCGTTTGTAGCAGTGTTTTAGGGGTACGGATATCTGATGGCAACTGCTCGTCCTTACCAGCAGCTGATCTTCTGAATCGTTTTATCATCCTCCCTTCCATACTGCTAGACACTCCAGAGTCCGGGTCAACATGCTAATTAAGATCATTAGTTCCTGTCCATAATGTAAAAAGACAACGTGATATGCGAACCTTTTCACATTTATCCACCATTTTTTGGACAATCCTTTCTACTCGTTCGAACTCAGGACACATATCCGTGCAGTTACCTGTTGGAGTAATTGCCTGCTTCAAAGTAGTCGGCTGATCCGGGTCGGGCATAATTCCGGCTTTAATAGCTTGTATGCGCTGGCGGGCGCGATCTTGTTTTAGCTACAGTAAAGAATTAGTTGGATGGAAATTCCGCTGGTATATGAAGAAAAGCTCACCCGTTCATATCGAGTGTTATAGTCTTCGATATTATCTGCCTGCTTGACGACCGTAGGGGTAGGATCATTGCGTCGCCTTGGATCTCTGGATCGATCAATCGCTCCAAACCCGCGAGTTCCTCCACGTCCTCCACGAGTTTGTCCAGAATTGGCATGATGATTTCCTCTGCCTCGAGTAGCAGAGCCAGATGGTGCGTTAGCCGGTGCATTTGATTTGGGTCCAAAGGGGTTAAACGTCTGTTGGCCATTCGTCTGAGCGATAGGGGGATTAGACCCTTTCCGAAAGCCTGTAGATAAGGTTAGTACAATGCGTATGGCCAATATTCGGCATATCTAGATTAGTGTTACCTGTGAACCCGCCTCTACCACTATTGTCTCCAGCTTGGGGGCTTCCGTGTGATGAAGTGCCGAACGGTGACGAACTAGCACCCCTGCCGCGACCTCCTCTGGCACTCACAGGGTGGCCTTGGTTCGATGCATTATTTCCGGCAGCAGCAGGTACACCTGAGTCAGATGAATTTGGGGGTCGGTGCCCTCCTCTCGTTGAACGGCCGCGGAAAGGTGTACCTGACCCACGCTTTGAGCCCGCAGAATTGGTAAGAACAGACTTGTATAAGCTGGACATCTTTAGCACACCGTTCTGGGAGCGGCCTCCTCCCCTTTACGCGCAAAGGGAGAAATAATGCCTAGACAAACATGCCAGGATGAGGTTTATGGATGGCGGTGGTAGCTCCAGTGTACCGTGAAGCAAGGCTAATCCAGATGTGAAAGAAATGGATTATTATCTGTAAAGAAAAACACACTTATTAGCTTATCGCATACTTATCCAGGTTCCATATGGTGGTATCTAGGGTTGCATAGGTAATTCCAAGCTCCATTTCCAGAATGCATCTCCCGTATCCCTCCCTATGGATATTCCGATTTTGGGCTGTGACTCCAGTGTCGCGCGGGGAACTAGGGCTGAGAGGCCACGAACGGGAGGCTGAGGGCGAAAAAATCACGCGGCATACGAACGCGTTGTGTGTAAGGAGCTTGCTGGAGCTTGGAGAATGTGATGGTTACGTACTCGGATCTCGTAGGCTTGACGCGAGTTAGGAAAGGTGATTTCGAGCTTGAGCTTTCAGTCCGCTAGAAGGAAAAGGGCAACCGGCGTGGGAGCTCGCGTGCCTTGCAAGGACGGGGGAAATGAGGTTTGCGATGATCGTTCAGTAAAGTAATACTTGCAGGACTGTGAGCATGCAACCGTAGATGCTCCAGGCTGCGGCGGTTGAAAGGTGATGCAGGTAACTATTGGGTGTTGCTGCTTTTTGCGTCTTAATCCGTTGGTTAAGAAAGCTCGAGGAGCGCGCTAAAGTCACGTGCATGGCGCCTAATTTACAGCCGCAGTATTCTCTGAAATGTAGCACGAGGACGACGGGAAAGTCATATTTACATGTGGATTGAATGTATAACAAGGAAAGGAAGTCTAGATATGATTGCTATATTCTAGCTATGGAGCGGGGAAAGATGCTTAGGCCCAAGCTCCGACCAAACTCATACCGAACGCACCAAGGAATACAAGAATGCAAGCATACACACGGCGTTTTCCGCGAAGGATACGCCAGCTCTCATCGCTGAGGAAATCCTCGGCTAAGAGCTCAATCAGGGAAGCATATACGAGAAGCCCTGAAGATATGGCATTCATAGTGCCAACCATGATCAGGCCAACCTCAGAGTCAGGGGAGTACAATGTATGGGTAGCCAAACCAATAGCTTGACCGATTGGGGTCCTATCGTCCAGACGCGTTAACCAAGGTCCATTTTCTAAGGGAGATAACGATCAACTTACGTGCAGCCATAGGCCATAGCCATGAGCCAGGGTTGAATAGCACCCTGTTCCCAATCCAGAGCGGCAATGCGAGAACCGAGAGCCAGCCCCTCGAAACTTTCTGAATAGACCCACAGTTAATATTGGAGCAAAACGTATCCAAAAGTCTAGCAGTTTGGGAAACTTACGATGAAAGGCAATTGCAATCAGGAGGACAATAAATGTGCTCCCAGTAGAAACGCTTAATGCCATTCCAATAAAGACGCTGTGGAACAAGATTCCGATCTCAAGAAGAATGCATTGCATGAACGCCTTTTGGCGCCTTTGTTCTGGGCTTAGGATGATTGGGAGAAAAGCGCTGCTAGCTCCTTCTTCAGCATCAGCTGCACGCTGTGAGGGCGACTGGCTTAGCTGGCGTCCTGCCCCTGCCTCCGTTACTACCCGGGGCTCCTCTTCGTGACGACTGACGCTTCGAGATAGTTCATCCGGGGTATTCATGATTTTTGAGTCATCGCCAGCGGGTTTTGAAGTACTTGATGGCATCTCACGACAGACGATTCTTTCTACATCCCTGCCGCCGCTACATACATGCTGAGCAGGGCTGAACACCATTTCTATAACTGTGACAAAGAACACAGCAGCAAGCGCGATAGCACCAGGCATAGCAGGGTAGTCGGTCGTCCAGAAACCAGACAGGCACGGATTTCCAAGCGAAGTGAAAGCCGTGGGCAGCAAATGGACAAATGCTGTGGCAATCAAAACGCCGGTTCCAAAGTGCCTGACAGCGAATAAGAAAGACTGCGGGATGTGCAGTCGTGGAAACTTGAGGGCCAGCATGGGGAAGCCGCAGGCAAACGAGGATATGAAGAAGATGATGAAAAGGGCGATAACGTGCAGGGGCAAGTTATACTCTGCACCATCTACACCGCCGCTCTCGCAAGTCGAGCTTCTTTTTGCCTTGTGCCTGGGCAGTTTCGAAGAGGCTGCATAATGACCTTGTTAGAATGGGATTCAGCTGCGTTAGGGACTGGCGAAGTAAACATACCTGGAGTTCGAAAGACAGCCGCAATGCGGTACACTACAAGCGTAGTAGTAACGGTAGCCATCATCCACCAAAGATGGCTTTGGTAGAGTATGAACCACCGCTTAATAGGATTGGTCCAGGCAGGTGAGCCATGGACAGCAGACGGAGTGTCCTTGGTAGCAGAGCAAAATTCTGTCGACAGAATTAGACGATATATACAGAATACAAAGCCTTCCTTAAACTAAATACGTGGTAAGAACAGCATACCTTCTCGATAACGAGCGAGTTTTGCATCTGCCAAGGGGAAGTTGGCTGGTGACGGCATGGTGTCAACAGTCACCTCACTCGACTCAAACGCTCCCCCAGGACAGGCAAGAGACGAAGACGACAAGTCTCGCCCGCCCCGATGCTGCCTATCGTTGACACGGCCATTGAGGTCTTCTCTCTTGGTCAAGTCAGAGGGTAAAAAGGGAGGATTCTGGTTCCAGTCCGGGTGGACGAGGTCCTCGTCTGTACGGGAAGGGCAATTCATCGTGGTGTTCCAAGGGGCGGTCGTTCTTTTTTCCTGGAGTCTTGGCCTGACTGAACTCAACAGCGACAAAAACGGCCACCACGAAAGGATATATATATAGCCAGCAATGAGGGGGTTTGTGGGGAGCGTCCGGAAGGGCAGAGCGATAACTCTCTCATCTGACGGCAAATAATTCTGCCCTGAGCCCTGCGATCCCACTCCGTGTCCAGTTCGAAAAGCTTCACCGTCGCCAGAGAAGCGTTTCCGGGAAATGCTCTTGGCAAGGGTGCGGGTTCCGGTTCCGTCCGCGAGGGTGATTGGCCATGATGGAGTTTCAGAGTGGGAGCTTCCTGTCTCTCAAGGTGTTTTCGTATCTTGTTCTGGACCTCTTGGGTGCAAATGCCAACGCCTGCGAGGCGTAACAAGACATCCGGCGAATAGAGCACTCCTTGGCCGTCCCATCTGATAACACCAGCAGATATGCTGACGAAAAAACTGCTCTCTTGTCCCTGCACGCCTCAGACGAGTGTCTTTCCGTGATAGACGGTCCCCCTCGTCCACCAGCCCAGCACGCGACAGGCAACTAAGCTTTACTTCGTCATGACAACAAGGTCCATGGGAGGAGAAGACCTTGGTGGTAGCCTTCACTAGTCCAGGGGGGGTCCTTGATAGCAGAGACAAAAAACCATATACGACTGGGGATCACCAGACGGAAAGGCATGTAAGAAGGCCTGACGACATCAAGGAAGGTCTTTATCGGGGCCTCTCCGTCCGTCGCCGGCGGCCAGAGAGTCATCTCCATGGACAACACAACCAGGCAAGGGTCTCGTCTCTCTGCGCGGAGAAGCTCGAGGATCCTCCCTCCTCCTCCTTGCGCATCAGAGCATCAGCGGAGGGGTTCGGCGTAAAATCGTGACGTCCATACTCGCGCGCCGGAGAGAGAACCGCACCGCAGTGCCGTGAGAGCCTTTAATGCAAGTCCAATGCTGCATGGTGGAGTTGCAGACGAATGCTGCGTACGTACGTAGGTAGGTAGGTAGCTGGATAGTCAAGTAACTTAGTAGTCACAGACTGGGCTGGACGTTGCGGTCGTCGGGCGACAAGCGCCTGCCAGAATAGCCGCCGGGTCACGTTGTATGTCGTCGTCAACCTCAACGTCGCTGCTCGGCATTTGCTCTGGGACGACACAACCTCGCAGACGCACCCAGCGAGGGGCTGAGACTCGCTGCGCGCACAGCCAAGCCGTCTGTTGGGGGCGAGAACTCGGACTGTGGGTGTAGCAACGGCGCGAAGCTCGAGGGAGGCGTTCTCGTCGGTTCA